GTTATTGAAATACACGTACATATTAAAACTGGGTATTGCGCAGATCCCCACTGAATGTAGAAAAATGTTATTTTTTAAAAATACCCCTTATTAAGGGAGTTATTAATTTTTGAAAATTAATTCTAAAACAAACGTACTTCACTGATATGTTGAGGATGACCTATATAAATTAGGTTTATTTACCTATTTTAAACATCAACAGTAATTAATATGCAAGTTTTTGTCAGATGATAAGAAAACTAGTCTTGTAAGAAATAACCATGTTGCCAAGATTTTCGAATTAATTTCTATTTCCGAAGACTGGTTTTTACTACCCTCGTTATCAAAAAACTAGAATATTTGATAAATGATTGTTTTTAAACTATACATTTTTGAAACTATAGATTATTAAAATTTTAGTTGATTTACGAATCTGGCTAACACGAGCGCGTCATTTCCAAGTTGGTAAAAAGTGTTGTTACGATTACTTTTAAATATTTTTTTACGATGCCCCACTATTTACGAATATTAAACTAACGGATATAGTGCTGGTTTATGGGGCAGCTGGAGAAAATTCTCGGCAAGCACAAATCCTGTATCGCGAACGGTTTCCAAATCGGAGAATTCCGGACTGTCGTACGTTTATTTCAACTGTTCAGCATCTAAGAGACCATGGAAAATTTGAGAGTGTCAATGCAGATCGAGGGAGAACAAGAACACAAAGAACATTGGCGGCCGAAGAAGAAATATTGGAAGCTGTTGAAAACCGGCCTCAATTAAGTTGTAGAAGACTAGGTCTTGAAATTGGAGTGTCCTCATTTGTTGTGTGGCGGACACTTAAAGAACAAGGTTTACATCCTTATCACATCCAAAAAGTCCAGGCCTTATATCCAAGTGATGAAGAAAAGAGAGTGGAGTTTTGTGAATGAATGATTCAAAAATGTGTTGATATTCCTGATTTTCTAAAAATATTATTGTATACTGACGAGGCTTCATTCACTCGTGATGGCGTGTTCAATATGCACAATACGCATATTTGGAGTGATGAAAATCCTCACGCCATTAGGGAAACTGGGCATCATAGAAAATTTTCAATAAATGTTTGGGCTGGCATAATAGATCAGTATTTAATCGGGCCTTATGTTCTCCCGAACAGATTAAATGGGCCAGGATATCTCCACTTTTTAGAAGATATTTTGCCAGTACTCCTAGAAGAGATACCGTTACAATTAAGGCAACGGATGTGGTACCTACTAGATGGCGCTCCTCCTCACTTTGATTTAAACGTACGGCAGTTTTTGAACATTAGATTTCCTCAAAAGTGGATAGGCAGAAATGGACCTACTAAGTGGCCTCCGAGATCTCCGGACTTAAATCCATGCGATTTCTTTTTGTGGGGTCACATGAAACAACTGGTTTATAATGAACCTATTAATAATGTTGAACAATTAACCAATAAAGTTAATGCGGTAGCCGAGGTACTACGACAAAATCCAAGACTAATTTCTAATGTTCAAAGTTCTTTGGAAAGACGATTGCAAGTGTGTGTAAATAATAATGGACGGCATTTTGAACAATTACTGTAATAAACTTTATTTTGAATTAATTGGTTTTGCTACGGCAACAGTGCAATTTCTATGGGTGTAAGTTCAATTTCGATTTATTTTACTTCTTTAAATATGGAAACTAGTAGGTCGGAAAAGCGGACTCTTCCCCAATATTTAAATTTTAGAATTTGAAGTTAAAATTGGTGCCAATCGTTTTTGGTCATTACATACTATTCCCCATTTTAATATGTACGTGTATTTCAATAACACCCTGTATACTGGTTCTAAAACTTCGAAATTACCACCTCAGAATAGTAGGTTGAATCCCAGAAAACTGATTAAAATATTCAAAATTTTGAGTAGGTATCTTGACATTTTTTTTATTATAATTGCGGCTCGATAACCAAAAACGAATAGCAATGTCTTTTTTATGCATCCCGGATCCCAACAACAAAATCACTTCATGAGTAACCATTTTTATAAATAATATGTTAATATAGGTAGATATCCAAGTAAATTTCGACGTACCCTTGTATTTGCAAGAAACAAAAATAATGTCACTTATCAAAATAATTTTATTTTATATCGTACGATTTAATTAGGTACTTAACCCGATTAAAGCCGCATGTCTTTATAAATAGTGATAAACGATTGTGTAATAGAATATAACACGTTATTAACATTCACATAAATATAATATACTTTAGTTATGCATAGAATTTCAAAACACCGTGATACCGGTCAAAATAATAAAAATATAAAAATTATAAATTAAAAATATAGCAAATTACACTTACTTGTATACAAATAATAATCCTGCCGTAAACATTTATTGTATCATACAAAAAATATCTTAACCTAACTTTTTTTATTCACTTTTCGGTGTTCATTATGACATACAGCATCTTTGTTTCACATTCACAGCCACAGCGCACACAACACACAACACAAGGCGTAGCAGGTCAACAGGATTGCCAAATGCTTGATATATTTTACGTACTAATCTTATCTAAGTTAAATGTTTATTCAGGTTATCTTATTATATTATATAATAAAATATCTATTTTGGTTGTTAAATATTTCTTAGATAGGTATAATATTTACGTGAAATTGTATTATCAAAATTAAAATTGATTATCCATAAAAATATAATATTCATTATGTTGGTAATGAAGGTAACTAGATATATTTTAGTATTTATTGAATGATCCGGCAACAGTGCGGATATTATCGATATTTGGCGCGTTAGTTTTTTTGGAATGTGTTACCGGGGATATGAAAAAAGATGTTTTAAAACAAATATGATTTAAAACTTAGTGAAAACTATAATCGATCTATTAAAACAGTAAAGTTTACATTATTTAAATTTTTATTTTTTAATTATCCAAAATCCTATCTCCTGTATTATTACAGGGTGTTTCAAAGTGATATGTACATACGTTAACCGTAGGTGTTGATGTGGGATACCTAGATACAGGGTCTTTTATGGATTTAGAACGAATTTTTATTTTGTCAAAACTCAATAACTTACTAAAAAAAATTTAATTTTGGCAGATAGCCCACAAATTAAATCGAGATCTGAAGGGTGACACAGTTAATTTAAAAAAAAATATCTTTTTCATTAAATTTTCGTCGTTTTATTAAGTAGATGGCTTAAAATTGGTACACCAGGGTTTTTTGGGATACATCATAATTTGAGTCTAAATATCACCTATCTCATAGAGGGCGCTAGTTGCAAGTCACTCTATATTTTGAACTTTTTTGACTGAAAAATTTGGCAACATGGGAAATTTATAAAGTAACGCATAAATTCATTATTAGCAACAAACAACGCTATAAAAATGACCCCGCAATAATCTTTTGAAAATTGGGTTTCTGTCAAATTGTCTGAATTTTTGATATGTTGTAGATTTTTTCATCCTAAACAAAAGTCTCCATGGGCACAAAGTGCCAAAATGAATATTTTGGCAGCTACGGAGCTGCCAAAGCTCCCCTGACCCGTTTCAAAACTATTCATTTTCAATACTATTTACAGATGTCAAAAGCATATTTTAATTATTCTAATACATAGGGTAATGTTTTTTACAAAGTGTTAGATGATCTAAAGCAGTGTTCGCCAACCTCTCAATGTGTTGAGCTACTTTGTTAATTTTGGAATAAACAGCGAGCTACCCACACGGAAGCCACGTAACGCAACGTAAATGAAATAATCCACAGTTAATTTATCATTATATGTATTTATTTTACTATTTAACTGGTAATACATAATACATAGGTACTAATAATAAACTAATAACAAAATAACTAATATACTAGTACGTACTTGTTCATAGCTACATTCCTACCTACCAAACGAAGATGTTTGAAAAATAAACACAAACTTTTATCCAGCCACAACGGCATGTCACGTAAGATTTAAAAATAGTTAATAATAACAACAAAAAAGTAACGCACTATCATGAATATAAACATTGAAAAATAAAAAAGCACGTTCAATGAGAAGGCTGACACTCAGACTTATCGATAATTTTTTTAATGTTTGCAGTATAATTTGATACAGCCATTCGAATGTTCAATCCAAATGTTCATGTGTAAGTCGATTGCGATATTTGTTCTTAATAAACTTCATATTGGAAAAAGAAGATTCACACAAATAGGTTGAACTGAATAATGCTTTCACTTTCAAGGCAACACGGCACAGAACTGAATATTTGTCTTTACTTACAATAGGCCAGATACATTTGGTACTTGAGACTAACGATTTTAAGGCTAAATCATTTTGAAACTCAATTACTTCCATTTCTGTTGCAGCGATGTATTCGCCAAAGTTCTGCATAGCACAAGTTGCAAACTGTTGGATATCAATTTCCATAAAGGGTGAAACAACAAACTGCGCTACTAAAGGCATTTAGTTGAAATCCTTAAAACGATTTTTGAAGTTATTCTTCAGGGTAGAAACTATTTCTACATGATATTTGCTGTCATAGGGTTCTAATGGATTTTGAAATATTTTTTCTGAAAGAATAGGAAAATGCTTGGCATCGCTGTTAATTAGGTTTTGTTCCCAAAACTCCAGCTTTTTGATAAATACTTTTATATCAGAAATCATTTCCGCTAGTTCTTTGTCTCTCCCCTGAAGATGCAAATTAAGTTCGTTTAATTTCTCTGTAATGTCCACGAGAAAACCAAAATCTCTAAGCCAGATTGAATTTTCTAGTTCCGAAGTTCAGAAGTGTACTTAGGTAAGGTGTTGAGTCGTGCGTATAATTTCGTTGATTGTATAATTTCGTGGAGCCTATAATTTCGTAAATTTTGTTTGAGTTAAAGGTACTGTTATTATTTTGGTGACTCTTTAGCTGTGAGTAGAATGAATGAAAAAAAAGACATCATTCTGTTTGTGCAGTCAAAAGCTGTTTTAATAAGGGTTATACCTGCAAGAAAACATTCTTTAGTTTTCCCAAGGACCCAAACCGATAAGTACCACATTGTAAGAAATTTTCATTGTTAAAAATATAATTTATACAGGGTGTCCCATTAGTGCGTTATTGTTCATTATTTTGTTGTAGACACGCAAGAAAGTTTTAAATAAAAGTTATATGGATTTGAAAAATACCTACATATTTTAAAATATCTTTGGATATACAGGGTGTCACGTTTTTGCCTGGCAAATTAAAATATATGTTTTTTAAATTAAACACCTTGTATTTTATTTTATGATGAAATTATTAACACCCTAAATTATTGTAAAGACGAATTGCTACAGAAAATTTTTATCAGGTATGTGTGTGGTTACCTTATTGTATGTTTAATCTCAATAACTAAAAAATATACTGACAATTAGTTTGACAGAATTGACATTTAATTAAATTTTTAAAAATAATAGCAGTCGGTTGATCAAAATATGAACGGTGATTGGCGAATTTATTTTTTTTGCAGTGTTCTCACTACCTAGAATGGATATGAAATATATTCGTTCAATTGAAGGCAATAGCATACTTTTTCGTTTTGTAATCTGTGCATGGATATTAGCCAATCTACGCACATACTACAAAACGAAAAAGTATGTTATTGTGTTCAACTACGAATATATTTCAAATCCATTTTAGGTAGTAAGAACACTTTAACAAAATTAAATCTACAAATCACAGTTCATATTTTGGTCACCCAACTCCTACTATTTAAAATTTTTTAAATAAGTGACAATTCTGTTAAACTAATTGTCAATATATATTTTAGTTATTGATATTAAATATACATTAAAATTTTTGTGCAGACTCGATAAATAATAGCATTTTTGTTTCTATTGTGTCCACATTTAAAAAAAAATAAATTTTAATTAAACTACATGATACTAATTTAATTACGAGTATTAAAACTAAAGTCCTGAAAGTTTCGGTGAAGATGAAGACAGAGCATCTGCCTTCCACGCGAAAAGTCCGGGATCGAATCTAGGCCGAGGACTAATTAATTTTTCATGTTTATTTTATTTTATAAATTAGTCAACTTCGTAAATTATTTTAAAATTAGTTATTTTGTCTAAATAACCTAAAATAATTTTTTAAATTTGTAGATTTTCGTTAGTGGGTCGTAGAAAAAATATACTGACCATATCGAGTAGATTGTTCATATCACAATCAGACGACTGAGTTCTCCGCCTACGACGTCGTGCTCAAACTTCGTCTTTGTGTGATATGGCTATCATATCCACCCTTGTTGAACAAACTACAATTTATTTGTTTTCTTGGTTTAAGTTTTACATCAGAAATAGGAATTAAATTAATTTACTTTTCAAGTTTTCTTGTAAAAATCGATATTACTTTCTCCAAGTACAAATTTAGTACCTACCTAAAATAAGTACTAATTATGTTATATCTTGTAATATTGTAATTCAAATTTCACATTACTATAAAGTTTTAAAATTTCCTACTTCGGTATGGTCAGATAAAAATTGAATATATTATATTAATAAAAACTGTCAAAGTATAACTTCTACAAATCTGTATTTCAAATAATAAGAATACATTAAATATAACCAATATTGTTAAAACAAAAGCACACATTCTTTATAATTCCAAAATACCATAGAGTTCCCAGACCTCAGTCGAAGCATTCGTTTATCTAGGTATAAACCCTTTGCGCGAAGAGTAACACTTGCCAGAGACACGGGGGTACCACTTGATTTGCATCCACGAGCGTGACACAATTCTTTAACAATTGAAGCCCTTGGTGTAAAATGGATCCAAGCCACAATTTGTCGTGAAGTGACTGTTTTAGCTCGAAACATTTGTTAACGAGAATTTTACTAGCCATATATAAATTATTTTACCTCTAATCCGAAAGATGTGCTATTTTTCGTAATATTTATATTTAAATAATTTTTTTAATTATATTTGAAAGATTTAAAACAAATTAAAAATGTAATTTCCCAAAACTTACTTAATATGGCATGTGACCAACCTTATTACGCCAAGGTTTTCAATTTTTTCAATAATAAAAAAATTGTTTAATCCGGGCCCGACTTTTCCCTTGAATCTAACAGAGATAGCACCATTCCGTCTTGCTTGGTTCTCGACCGCCAGATCAAAGACGCCGACACGGAGTTGTGGAGCTGTATTGTATAAGCTGTGGTATAACTAATACCCATAATGAACATGTTTATGCCGTTGAAAATCCGCATGCAATAAAGGTAAACCATTTTCAGCACGAATTCAAAATTAATGTGTGGACTGGAATAATTGGTAATTTTATTGTTGGTCCTGTCATACTTCCACGAAGATTAACTGGAGAAAATTATTTGGATTTTCTACAAAATACGTTGCCAGAATTGTTAGAAGATTTACCTCTCCAACTT